GCGAGCCGAAAGCTACAGCAGTGGTATGTATGCATGTATATATATATATATATGTATATATATATATATATATATATATGTAGGGGCTTAGGGCTTGGGGGCCTAGAGCTTCCATCGCCCCTGGAACCCCTCGTCATGAAGCCCTCTGTGACTGTAAAGCCCCCCGCCCCCACGACATGCGCTCTAGCCATTCAGTGTGGCAGCCCGATGCAACAAAAACCTCTAGGACAAACATCGGCTCCCTTTCCCCGTCTCTCTCCTCTCTCTCTCTCTGTTTCTCTCGCGCGCGCTGTTTGCAACCAAAAGCATGACCACTTAACTTGCAAAAGATGTCAAGCCTTTAGCCTTCGGCTTCGACCCTGATCGCAAAGCAACCCAAAGGCAGGAACCAAGAGGCTTCATGCATACAAGTATGGGGAGGCCCCCCCCATAACCCCATAAACCATAACAAAGATGGCCACTGGGGGGCCTCATTGCAGAATGGCAGTATGTACGGACCTTCTTGGGACACATGGTTTCTGATTTCTTTAAGGGGGCGAGAAGCTGCAAGGCCATTGCTCTCCCGTCGAAGCGGTGCAGGTTTCAGGGCACCTCGGGTGCTGCTCTACTTAATTTAGGGTTTAGGGTTTAGGGGTTTGGTTCCGCTACAGAAGAGTTAGAGGTTAAGTACGTACCTACTGAGGGATTGGAGGAGTTGGGGCACCGGTCCTAGGGCCTCATAGCTTAAGGCATTTGGGCTAAGAGGATGCAATTTACTTGCCCTGGGGCATTTCGAGCCGTGCATAAAGGGCCCACTTAGAGATTGAAGGCCGAACCTAAACTTCTAGACCCAAGCTCCCAAAAGCCTTTTTTTATTTGCGAAGCCCATCTCCAACATCCTAAACCTTATGAAGCGCAAGCAGGAACTCACCCGGGCTTCGGGTGGTTCTCAGGAAACAACTCCTCTCAAGCCTCAGCCCCAAAATCGTGAATTAATAAACTCCATGCAGCCAACGCTGGGAAAAAACAACTCCTAAACACTAGATTTCCGGAGCTTCGATCTCACAAGCCCTAAACCGAGCGTTCGTAAATAAGCGCGTCCCCTGTAACAACCCTCACGATGCCCAAATGAACGCAAGATCCTCAAAACTCTCGCGGTGAGATGCAGGGCTGCCAGGCAAGGGAAGAGAGCTGCCCAAATGAAGAGCAGCTGCTGGCAGGACCTCTGCTCCATGAGAACCAGCCTCGGTTTTTTAGGGCTCAGGGCTTTTTTAAACGGCTCCTAAGTAATTAGGCATTTCTACGCTCCTAATCTAAGGGTGTAGGGGATGGGGGGGCCGACCTTTTCAGGGATTCTGTCTTGTTTTTTGGGAGGGTGCTTTGGAGGTTGATGGGGCTGAGGTGTGAGTTTCAAGAGCTTTGAGCAGGGACTCGGGCAAGGGTAAGCCCGAAAGAGTTGGAGACTGGAAAAGCATGAGTCGGGCTGGGAGTCCATATGATTCACTTCAAGGTTTAGGGGTTAGGGGTTAGGGATTAGGGTTTAGGGTTTAGGGACTTCTGCAGCAGGGGCAGAATAAGGTTCCAAGTTGATAGCTTCTGCAGTACATGTTAAAGTTTCGTGGTACGCCATCATCGTGGAAGCGCAAAGGTGCGTAAAACTTAATTAGGCCTATGTGCCGGTACTCGTGCAAAGTCAGCTTCACTGCTTCCGGACATGGAAAGAAAGTCCTCACACCGGACTGGGCAAAAGGCGGGGCGCCCAAATTGGTAGGAACACAACGAGTTAGTCATCACACCGATCCATGCAACCCCAATCCGAACAAAGCAAGATAAATCCCTCGGTCGGCGAAGCTTGAAACACTCTCCAACTCGCTGGGCAAAGACAAGCCACTTAACACTATCACTATAGTGATAGCGAAGGTAGAGACTATTTAGAACAGGCTATCGGGGCCTGTTGTACCACAGACACAGCAATTCGAATCGAAATACTCACTACGTCTACAAGCCCCTAGTCACTAGTATACACACTGCCCTTCAGGCTATTGAAGGGCAATAATACAGCGCAGAGGCATTAGTAGTTCGAATAGGGTTTGGGGTACATTATAATATACCTACAGCATTCAACCCCCAGAAAAATATTTAGGCTTCCACAGTTCAATTCTAAACACTTCGATCTAGGTCCCTGAATTGCAATCTTCAACGCGACAAGTCCTTCAAGACACACAAGCCTCCATGCACGCAGCTCGCGCCCTCAACTCCGGTAGTCGAAACCCTACGAAACTTGCCTGTGCCCTCCAACGCAGCTACGTTTTGGGCAAACGAAGTCTTTAGCTGGGGTTTAGGGTTTAGGGTTTATAGCTAGGATCCTGCAATAACGACTTATGGTTTTCAGGTCAGTCTAGGGCAACCCGTCTGACCCCTATAGGGGAAGCCCATCAACTCTGCTTGGTGACTCCGTCCGCAGCCCTTGCCCACGACGGGAAGCAGCGCGATTCTGAAGCCAATTTTCCGGTGGAGAACACTTCGTTCGGAGCTGTTCAGGTTTGGATCCTTTAAGCTTCGGGCTGGAGGCTTTTGATTCGGATGCAAGCGCCAATTAAGGCTCCTCGTCTTTCAGGCCAGGCGTTTGGCTGTAAAGGTATCTGCGACTAAACCACCCTAAGCCCTTGACCCTTCGACCCATTTCGATAGGTTTACAGCACGTGCAAGGCCCTACACCCTAACCCTCAGCCGCCCTTTAAAGTACCCTAAGCCCCAACCTTCAATGACTCGTCCCACAACGTTAACTCAACCCTTTTGCAGCAGGCTTCTCTCGCTAACTGAACCCTGAACCCTAAACCCTGAAACCTAAACCCTAAACCCTAGACCCAAAGCCATGAACCCTAAACCCTCAAACCTGAACCCTGAACCCTAAACCCTGAACCCCAACACCTAAGCCCCAAACCCTAAACCCTAAGCCCTTTTTGCAGCAGGCTTCTCTCCCCCGGCCCCAAGCCCTAAACCCATAACCCCCAGACCCTCAACCCTAAGCCCTAAACCCTAAGCCCTAAACCCTTATAAACCCTTATAAACCCTGAACCCTAAGCCCAAAACCCTCAACCCTGCACCCTAAGCCCTAAACCCTCAACCCTGAACCCTAAACCCTAACCCTCAACCCTGAACCCTCAGACTTCCTTTCTTGCCATTTCTGGCCATCGCTGCACCCGGCTCGGCCGGAAGTCCCCGGGCAGCTGCGGAGAAGTGCTTTGCCGACTCTTGGAGGCTCGAAGAAAACAGGGGCCTTTATAATTAGAATAGGGTTTAGGGTTTAGGGTTTAGGGATAATTAGAATAGGGGTTTTGGGGTTCCTTTAAAGTGAACTTTAAAGGGTTCCTTAAGGGTTCGTTTAGAATAGAGGGGCCTTGATAATTAGAATAGGGTTTTGGGGGTTCCTTTCAAGGGCTCCGTTCCTTAAGGGTTCGTTTAAGAGGCCTTAATATTAAAATATAGGGTTTTGGGGTTCCTTTAAAGTGAACTTTAAAGGGTTCCTTAAGGGTTCGTTTAGAATAGAGGGGCCTTAATGATTAGAGTAGGGTTTTGGGGGTTCCTTTGAAGGGTTCCTTGAGGGTTCGTTTAAGAGGCCTTAATAATTGGGTGGCCCACGGGTTTCCATAGAGCTTTGATTCTTTGATGAACTTAGCATATCTCGGTTGATTAAGGCCGTGGCCCTGCCACTTGAGGTTTCCGCAAGCAAGAGCCTTGACTTTGCAATACCATTTTGCTTGTTTCGCCTTGTTGGTTTAGGGTTTAAGGCTTCCTTACCCATTTACCCATAGTAGTTCCTTTTTGGGATTACCTTATAGGATTCTATATACGAACCCCCAAAAGGAACTACTTTAGGGCCTATGGGTAAGCATTAAATTTGAGGCCCCCTCTTTAAATCCATAATCACTACTGCTGCTTTGCATTTTGCAGGTGCGCAAGACAAGCCTTGGCTTTGGGGGACTTCAGGCTTCCTCTCACACCTTAGATGCTGCTATATGGGAGTTTCCGAAAATTAGGGTACCTTATTTTGGGTCCTTATAATAGGGATCCTAGTAATTAGGGTACTATATTAGGGTCCCCTATTTTCGGAAACCCCCATATTCCTCTACATCTAGTCGGCTCTCATTGGGATCAGTTGACGGCCTCACCCCGCATGGTTGGGCTGCATGGAAGATGCACCGGGGACCAGAACTTATTCAGCAAAGAGCGGAGACCAGTTGCTGGGAGCTGTCACAGGCCAGTCACGACACGACACTGGGCTCCTCCCGTGTTCACCGTAACCGACAAAAGTCTATGCAAGGCTTCTCAAGGCAAAAGCACACAGGATGAA